TGAAATACCATTCTCCTTCAACATCATAAATAACTTCTGTAATGATTCACAAACAGAATTATTAATGTTCTCTTTAACGTGTTAAAAAGCAAAAGCATTCAAACAAACATTTACTGACCTTAAGAAGGAAAAACCCAGAAAACATAAGTGAAAAACAGCCAAAAATCAAATAATGTTCAGTTTTAAACAATCTGCTGCAACATCAAAACTCTGCAATATATATTTAAAAAAACACTTTAAAGTTTGTCCAAACAGCTTATTTGTCGTAGCGTTAAACCCAGTCAACAGGAAGTGATGTGTGAAACTTCACAGGCAGGTAATTTGTACAATATTCACCTCTTCAGAGTATTTTTATTATTATTATTTTAGTGACAAATGCAAAGAAAAGGGAGCTCCTTCACCCATCAGGGGTGCAGTTTGAGTCCTGCAGGAAACAGCTCCCATCTTCTTCTTCTTGTTTGACTAACGTCTCACTCCTTTATGCTACTTTTGGTTTCACATAAACATTAAAGCCATTTACTTTTCTTGTAAAGCTGAGATACCTAGATTGAACAGGATTACTTACATTAATGTAGAGCTCCTGCTAAAATATATATTTTTTAAACCCTTTCCTACAACTAGAATAGGAATAAAAATTTATTTAAAAAAAAAATCAATATTGTTGACGTCATTGAATGTACTATAAATATATCTATACAGGTCGTTTCAAAAGAGCAAGTTTCATTGTTTTGTGGTCAGAATACTGACAAATCTTGGTAGGACTACATACAGAAAAGAAAAAACACAAATAAGCACACTTGGATCATTTTAGGTTTATTAAAGCCAATAAATATTTTTGAAGCTCAATGAGAGCCTGTCATAGCAGGAACTTATCAAGACGGAACCCAGTCATGTGTGAAGTGATGATGTCATGCCCAGGGCCATCACATGACAAACAAATGTACCACATACGGCACATTATGCAGCAGCTATGCATATATGTATCAAGCTTTGTTCAGTTCACTCGAATCAGATGTGGCCTGATAATAATAATTATTATTATTATTTATTATTATTATTTATTATTATTATTATTATTATTATTATTAATTATTTATTATTATTTATTATTATTATTATTATTATTATTATTATTATTATAAATAATACATTATAATAATAAATAAATAACTAATAATACATAAATAAATAATAATAATAAAATAACAGCTGTTCAAAAGGGAAAGCAGTGCCACTCCTTGACAGGGGGCAGCTCAGCCCCCCCCCTCAGAGAGTGATGGAGGCTGTTTGAGTCGCACAGCGAAGCGCCTCGTGTGGACGCAGCGGACCAACCTCAACATGAGGAGCCACTAAATACACTTTGAAGAGGGCGAAAATGATAAAATGAAAAAGTGAGGATATTGCCGTTTTGCTGGCACCTTTGTTTGTAGTCGTTTTAACAAATTTCTTGACTTGACTTGAAAAGGGCCATTACTTTACACATAAAATGTGCAGAAATGGTGAAACTTGTCCTTTAAAATGCAGTCCAACTTGTAACGAGTGCGGGTGGGAGGCAGTGCGCCATTTTTCAGTGCAAATAAATCTGATTTGAAATAAATAAGATGTGGACCTGTTGGACGTGGACATGACGAGAGCCTATCTGCCCCCCCTGCGCTGCACAACCATGGTCCCTGCCATGACGTCGTACACCGTCCTGTTGTGCTGAAAGAGGAGGAGAGTGATGAAGATCGGGAAGAGGAAGGCAATGGAGAAGTTCTTGTTCAGAGCACGCACTGCAGAGCTGCGAACATGAAGAAACACAAGAGGGCTTTAGAGCTGCGTGCTCACAAACTGAACCTCCATTACGTCAAATGATGTGCCGTCTACTAACGAGAACATCTGACTCAACGGTCAGCAATATTACTCACGCCGAGAGAGAAACATTAGATGCGGGGACCACGAGAACCCGGTTGGGTCGCACCAGCGTAGACGTATCGCATGTCACCACTCTGAGACCGAGCAGAAACTTTCCCGGCGTCGCTCCACCAGCGCCCCAAATGCAGATCGTCTGATTGGACGAGAACATCAACACATATCTATTATTAGCGACACCAGATTGTTACTCGAACAGTCAAATGAGCCAGAACTTCATTCGCAAGTTGACAAAAACAAGCCAAACATGGCAGATGGTGTTCGGCTGAGCTGAGGTGCCCGAACATCCCAGAGCTCGGTCCCACGTGGGGAAACAAAGCCGCTGACACAGACGTCCGTTAAGAGACACGATGCATGACTTCATCTCAGGCAACTCCGAATGCAACGTTGCATCACCGTCCTCCGTGGGACACGATGACGTGTCGTAAAGAAGCGCTCGGCCCAGCTCGGTGAGGCAGCTTCTCCAGAACACAAGGGGAACGTTTTACATTTTAAACTACACTTTTATCACTTCTTCCTCACAGAACGGAGATGAGCAACACTTCTGGTTTTTAAAGCAGTCAATTCCCATTCTCGCTCGTTTAAAATGTAAAGCTGGTTAACTGGGTGGGTCCTCGATTGTCATTTTTCTTCCTTATCCATAGACCAAATGTTGAAGAACCGAAGCAGTTTTACTGTTTTAATATAAACTGTTTGTATTGTGGCATCGCCTTGCTGAAAAAAAAAAAAAGACCATCCCTTCCAAAAAGATGGCGACATGCTGCAGTTGCACAAAAACCTGTAAAAGTTCATCCTTTTCAAAAACAACTTTTTAAAATAAAGTTAGGAAATAAATACACAAATGCAAATTTTTTGTGTTTCACGTCTAAATGTCCAGTGATGATACGTGTGCAGCTTGGCTCCCTTGCCAAGTAAATCTTAAAAGTTTAAAACCAAAGATTTTAGATTAAACTTTATACATGTACAAGTACAAAGCAACAAATGCAGTTTGGCATCTAACCAGTAGTGCAATGAACAGCAAGTGCAGAATATATATTATTGTATTACTATACAGTAGTCCCTCGCGACTTCGCAGTTCTACTTTTGTGGACTCGCTCTTTTGCTGTTTTTCAAAGTAAGATTGAAGATGAGAAAAAATGTTTTACATGACATACGATTGTCAGCTTTAATATTACTCACGTCATTGGGGCAGTACTGGATACTGTACAGTACAAAGTTTAAAAAAATACAATACTTCGAACTGGTGCCATCATTTTGTAGTTTTCTCTCAATAAGCCTACACTGTGCAGCACGGTGGCACAACTGGTAGAGCTGCTGCCTCTCAGTGAGAAGGTCGCTGGTTCAAATCCCGGTCCGGGGACCTTTCTGGGTGGAGTTTGCATGTTCTCTCCGTGCATGCGTGGGTTTTCTGCGGGTACTCCGGTTTCCTCCCACAGACCAAAAACATGCATGTTAGGCTGATTGGTAACTCTAAATTGTCCCTAGGTGTGAGTGAGAGAGTGAATGGATGTTTGTCTCCATGTGTCCCTGTGATGGGCTGGAGACATGGCCAGGGTGTCCCCCGCCCTTTGCACAGTGATGGCTGGATATGGGTACCGGCGACCCCTTGACCCAAAATGGAAGAAGCGGGTAAAAGATAATGGATGGATGGAAGCCTACACTGTATCCCCACTCATAAGGACTACATTTCCCAGAAGCCAACTTGCCTTCTGCTGAAATACTAGAGGGAAACTTTTGATTTGATTGGAAAAAGTTTGTTCCTTATTCATACAGTGACTTTGGTGCCCAGCGGATGCAGAGAGCCACACAGAACCCACCTGGAACCGGACCAGAACCGGAGCAGAACCAGACCTCCAGACTCATCGGTGAATCTGAGAGCTGCTAGCCAGCTCACGAGGACTTCCAAGCAGGGGAGGTGCCGCCGTACGTCCGGCTTCTCTCTGGAGCCCACCGGGACTTTTATTCACACAGTTCTAGACCAGTCTGGTCCTGTGTTGACCATCCAAAAGTCCAGCTCCCTCCAAAATGTGTTTCGGTGCTCAAGGGCTGCACAGAACCGGACCAGAACCGAACCTCCTAACCCATTGGCGAATCTGAGAGCTGCTAGCCGATCCACGAGGACCTCCAAACGGGATGTGTGCCACCATAGGTCCGGCACTCTCTCTGGAGCCCACCGCCACTACCCCGAACCAGAGGGCCGACCAGAACCAGCAGGGTAGGTCCGCTGAAACGGAACCAATTCAGAGCGGAATTGAGCCGCTGCCGTTCTGCAGATCTGGTGAGTAAAATTTTGTAGCTTCATACAAGTATGTTGTTAAAATTAGTAGGTTTAAAAGTTTAGAACACTGATTGTGGGCTTCGTTGCTGCAGGGTAGGACTGCAGAAACGGAACGGAGTCGGACCGGAACCGAGCAAAACCGAGAACCGCTGCTGTTCTGCTGAGTAAAATTTAGTAGCTACATATACCGTACTGTACGTATGTTGTTAAATGTCGTAGGTTTAAGAGTTTAGAACATTGCAAGAGTGTGGGAAGAGTTTCTAAAGCATTAAAATATATACAAATACTAAAATAAATTTAACGTTGCTACTTTGCGGATTTTCAATTACTGCGGGGTGGGTGGGTGTCCGGAACGTAACCCCCACAATAAACAAGGGACTACTGTTCACATGTACAAGTACAAAGCAACAAAATGCAGTTTGGCATCGAACCATAGTGCAATGAACAGCAAGTGCAGATTATTGTATTACTGTACTATGAACGTGATACAGATATGTGGGGAGGATGCGTTATAAATATGGTCCTCATCCTGGTCCTCGAGTGCCGCTACCCTGCATGTTTTAGTTGTTTCCCTCATCTTCAGCAGGTCACCAAGCTCTGCAGAAGTCTGTTAATCGCAAGTGTGTTAAAGCAGACAAACATCTAAAACGTACAGGCTATAGGCCATCGAGGACCAGGATCGAGGGCCACTGCTCTATAGGAATTTGACAATATGGACAACTTGTGAAAAGAGAGAAAACATGTCCATTCAGACCAATGTTACCATGTAAAGCTAGGAAATGAGTCATCAGATTGAGCGTGACCTACCTCGTAGATGCACACTAGTACCCTGTAGACCAGAGCCACGACCATCATTTTCTGCAGGTCCTCTATGGACGTGTTCTCATCAAACTCCTCCACAATAAAGTGGGTGACGAACTTTGTGATGTCCCTTAAAAGAGGAGACGGTCAGTGTTGAGTGTAGATCCGTACAATTTGGCTCCAACATTTAACTAATCTGCCACGCAAAGTTTGCACAACTGACTGACTTTCTTCAGACACTAATTAAAGAAGGCTTTACTCACTTCATACCACTCAGATGCATGATCCACAACACGATAGTGGCTTTCACACAAAACAGGATGAAGAAGTCTACAGTTTCTGCAAGGAACCTCAGGAGAGGAGAAGGAATTGTGTACTCTCGCCCTGTAAATTATGTGTAAAGACAAAGAATAGGGTTAATTCATAAACTCAAGACAGTTGTTGATTGAAAAGCTACTCTAAACACAGGAAGACCGACTTAAGGAGGACTTAATATAAGCTTGTTTCCACCTGCTTCCCGTTCTGACCCAGGTTAAGGCTTTAAGAACCGCACACACTAGTGGGCCGACGGGGTCAGCCAGAACCGCACCTGCCTGAGGAGGAGTCCCGGTCTGCTGCTGGGCTGACCGGGCATCAGTCTGAGCTCCACCCGGGCGAGGAGGGGAGGACGTCGGGGGTCCAAAAGGAGGGTGACCGTGCCAATTCCGCGAGTCAAACATTTCATGCCGGCTGTCGGAGCTTGAGGCAGGTGCACCCGGTGTCTGAGCGCTTGTGTGCGGCGGAGGAAGACAGGAGAAAGCCGCGAGAGCAGCCGAGCTCTGCGGGCTGACATTCCCCCAGTAACAGTGCCACATCCACCGCTGTAACTGCGCGCAGTACTCCGTAGTGACGGTACTTTGGAGCCGTTTTGTGTCCGTTTCACGGCTTTTGTTACCGGTCATATCTACAAACAGGTGACCCAGTTTATCACTGGCAATATTTTACAGCGTCCATAAGTCGTTTCACGTCTGCGGGTCTTTAGCTGCGTGCGACTGCGACCAGTCAACTCCGGCTAGCTAACGCTGTTTGTGAAGACAGGGGTATACAGCAGCGTTATCGATTAAAATGCCGCAAATACCTAAGTAACGATAGTAAAACACCATAATATTCAAGTGCAATAAGCTGTAAATTAAAAACTAATATCTTAATTTACACACAAGCCGTAAAAAGATGTAACTAAATTCGTAAAACAACTTGTAACCCCCCCCTCTTTTTCCCTTAATGGTATGACCCGTTTAACTGCGCGCGCGCTGTTAGTGGCACCTGCTATCAAGATCAGATATTAGAAGATAGAAAATATATGAATTAGAATGTATTTTTGCGCATTTGTTAATAAAAAAGTGTTGTTTGTATAGATAAAAAGGTACATATTATTTTATTTTATTCATTTATGCATACATTTATTTATCTCTCTCTTTTTTTATACCTTTATAGTTTACTTTGTAGATTGTAAGACCTTTACACCAATAAAAAAAATTAAAATAAAAAATGCTATCAAGATGTCTGAACTTTTCTCTATTTTAAACGTTACTTATTAGTTTTATTAGAATTATAAGCACAATTTATTGACTTTTTTTTTTTAAATTGGTTTATTTTTTTAATGTTTTATTGTTTTTATGTGTCTCAGTTCTCCCGATTCAAATTATTGAAATACTCATTTACTCAAACCTACACCTGTTAATCACAATAATGTAGATCAGGTGTTAAAATAAGGCGCCATCTAAAACATGCATGACATTGACTGAAACACTATATGAAAATAAAGCTAACCAATAGGTAAATTAAAATCTTAAATTGAATTTTAAATTACATCGCATTTTCTGCAAAAACTTGTGAAAGCCGAATCTTGGATATCTGTTTTAATCTACTGATGAGGCTGGAACTGAGTTGGTCAAGACAAAAGAAAAAAAAAAACACTAACTAAAAGCCAAAATTAACAAAATGCTTGCAGTTAAACCACTGCAGCAGCTAAAAGTTGCAAAAATCTAGCAAAATATAGCAAAAGGCTAACTAGAAGCTAATAGTTGCAAAAGCTAGCTAAAAGCTAAATGGAACAAACCACTTGCTAAAAAAATAAGCTAGCTATAAGTAACAAAAGCCTACCTTACAAATGAAATGGAGTGATAGCCAAAAGCAAATAGTAGCAAATCAGTAGCTTAAAGTAGCATAAGAAGATAAAAATAAAGTAGGTTGAAACATGTTTGAACAAGGACAATGTTTCTGAAGAGAAAACACAATGTTTTATTGAAAAAATATTTAATAATAAACTATAATATTTTGCAATGTATAAAAGTTAGCGAACTAAAAGTCCCCCATGAACAGAATGAGCTGTTTGTTTTGATATATGAATGGCTAAAAAGGTACCAACTGTATTCAGAATTAGTTTTACTACAAATAAAAACAAATGTAAAAACAGGAAAACGGTATGAATGCTGAATCAGCATTCACGGGTTCCAAATTATAACATTTTGAGTGATCTTAATATTTAATTCAGTATATTTGACCAAAAACATGCATGCCACTGGGCCGTCGTGCTGCCGGCTCAGTGGTTAGCACTGTTGCCTCACAGCAAGAAGGTCCTGGATTCAATCCCCAGTTGGACCTGGGGTCTTTCTGTGTGGAGTTTGCATGTTCTTCTCGTGCCTGCGTGGGTTTTCTCCAGGTACTTCAGTTTCCTCCCACAGACCAAAAACATGCATGTTAGGCTGTGCATGCAATATGGGACAGCATGGTTGCACAGTTAGTAAAGCTGCTGCCTCTCAGCGAGCAGGTCACCTCATTTCTAGAATTGCACCGCTCAAGGTGGCTGCATGTTGGAGCAGCTCTGTTACTTTCATTCTGAGATTTTGCTTTTGGAAACTTTAATTCCTCTTTTTCTGGATGTAAATCACATTTTTTGGCTGATTGTTTCCTCTGGTATCAGATGCTGTGCATCTGGAAGGATTTTTACTGAAACTTTTTTAGTTTTGGACATTTGTTATGATGCGTAACCATGGAAACAAGGCAGTTTTCTACAACCAACAGAAGCTGATTAACATCTCAAAAGCTCAAATAATATCTCAACACAGCACCAAATCTCAAATGAGTTGAAAGGATGTTCTGTGGACGCATTCTCATCTACCTGCCGGCTGTGCTCGTGTGTCTGACCGCTGAGATCCTGGAACTAGCAGGAAACATGGCTCATGACAGCGGAAGGACAGGATCGTCCCTCGGTACCTACAGTTGGCTGTCCGCAATGATGAGGAGCTCGGCAGACTGCTGGGAGTAGCAGCATTCACTCTGGGAGGAGTTCTGTCCGGCATTCGGGCGGTCCTACAGCCCGGGGGAACCGAAAGGCCAGCCGAATCTGGGTGGATGGACTCGACGGCATCTGCAGCCTGTTTTTTAGGATCCACTGTGAGATGGATCTTTACAAGAGATCCTTCCTGACTACAGTCATCAGTATCAATAGCATCTCTTAATGAAATGAGGATAACGAGTTACTACAACAAATAATTTCCCTCTGGGATTAATAAAGTATTTTTGAATTGAATTGAATTTCAAATCCTTGCCGGAGACCCCCTGGGTGGAGTTTGCATGTTCTCTCCATGCTGCTGTTTCCCCCGGGTACTCCGGTTTCCTCCCACAAACCAAAACATGCATGTTAGGCTGATTGGTAACTCCAAATTGTCCCTAGGTGTGAGTGAGAGAGTGAATGTTTGTCTCTATGTGACCCTGTGATGGACTGGAGACATGTCCAGGGTGTACCCCGCCTCTCACACAATGATGACTGGACATGGGCACCAGTGACCCCCGCAACCTGAAAAAGGAAGACAGGGGTAAAGATAATAGAAGGATATTATTTAGTTTGTTTATTAAAGTGAATGACATTGTTAATATTTCTATAGCTAACCTGTACAATATGAGGTTCATTGTCTTTCCTCTTGGTCCAAAATCTAACTGAACCTCTCAGACCCCACCAGAGAGCAGCAGAGGACTGTTTTCCATTATCATTACACCACATAAAACCATCCATACATTCATCCATTATCTTTACCAGCTTCTTCCCTTTTGGGTCGCGGGGGCCACTGGTGCCCACATCCAGTCATCACTGTGCGAGAGGCAGGGGACACCCTGAACAGATCTCAAGTCCATCACAGGGACACATAGAGACAAACAACCATTCACTCTCTCACTCACACCTAGGGACATTTAAAGTTACCAGTCAGCCTAACATGCATGTTTTTGGTCTGTGGGAGGAAACTGGAGTTGACAGAGTAATCTGCCTTGTTAGGTTTTCACATCTCTGCATTTAAGACCGTGAGTTACCCCCATTCTGTTGCTTTTTATTCACGGTGAAAGGTTCTGCTTATGTGCCCACTTATAAAAAACAAGCTAAACAAAGCTATCTGATGCCCAGATGATGCAGAAGACCACACCAAGAGGGAGGGGTATGTCCAGAAGCCATGCTGGAATCCCAAATATGTCAACCTAGTGACAAATCAGTCGTCTGGACCACAGGTCACCTGGGGTCAACTAATCAAAAATGTTAAAGCTGACATTTGTCATAAAAAGCTAGATTTTACTCTCCCCGTCATGTGTTTCCCCTCTTGCTCATATATAATCTTTTTTAAATTTATTTTATTTTCCTCCTTCTCCATCACTCTTCCCTCTCTCAGTCCTTTGCTGTGATTAAAGGGTGAAGGGGTGCGTTGCATTTGCTGACTGGGCTGGCCTGACTCTGTGGGTTAGGCATCAGGCTCTGCCAGTTCTACGCAATTGTGCCGAGGCCGCTGAATGGAGCCAGTGAGGCGGACACCAATGAGCCTTATCCCGGTCCAAAGAGGACACACGATGACTGTGCCCAAAAGTAATCGGGTCCAAATAAAAGCTGAGTCTGGCAAATGCTAAGCCCAATTCCACCCCCCCACCCCCCACCCCCATGGACATGGATGAAGACAAGCACACACTGTTTTGTCACTTTGTCTTTATTTGATATTGCCATATTACTTTAAAATTTTGACTTTTTTTTCTGCAGGTTTGTCTGCCTAGGGAGTTTTGCACACACGTCTTGTCTGGTAATACACACCAAAAGAGACAGGAATGCATTTATCAAGTTAAAAAACGTCCACAGAGGTGATAACGTCTCTGTGAAACAGGTTGCTGTGTCTGAACAGGATGTGTACCAGGCTCCCAGACAGACGTACGCCGATGGAGCAAGGTCATCAAACGAGCCAACACAAAGTTTTGCAGACACGCTTGCGCTTTGAACATTTTATGTCCAATTAAAACAATTTAAATTCATGTTCAAAGCAAGTACTAAGGTGTTTTATTTATTATAAACCTGGTCTTCACGTTGACTAAAAGATTATGTCATAATTTTAATTTTAAAAAAATCTGAGATTCTAGTCCATCTGCATTTTTTAATAAAGTCACTGCACTTAAAGAAGAGACATTCTGGTACATATCAGAGACAAAAATAAGCTATGATGTAGAGAATTATCTGTGGACATATGAGGCAAACATTCTGCTGAAGGTGCCCCAAAAGCAACGCATCATTTCCAAAAGGATGTCTAAAAGCCACAATCAAACGTCCTATCCTCTGGTTTCCAGCAAAAATGACTTCTCAGATTTGAAATGCACAGTGTTTTTTTCCCTATGTCTGCATTCATGTGTCTGTCTGTTAGTAAAATATCTCATGAACCGCCGGACAGACTTTAAAGAGGTTTGCAAAAGGTAGTCATGGAATGACTTCAACACGATTCAAAATGGCTTTAAAAAAAATTAACATAGTGATAGCTTGGTCATTTTAGAGGTATTGAGTTAAAATTTCACATTAGTAGCTGAGAGTCATCCACAACCAGGGCCGGCCCAAGGCATAAGCAAACTAAACGGCTGCTTAGGTCCCCGGGACCACTAGGGGGCCCCCTAAGTGGAATTCTTTATTCATTTTTTTTTTGTAATGATTTCTATGATTCTATTAAACACAATTTCATTATAAAGTTGTGATTTTTTAAAAATAATAATATA